GCGCCCCCCCCCCGCGGGTAGCGGGGCCGCGCGAGGCGGGGGCGGCGGCGGCACCGGGCGGGACCGGGCGGGCGGGAGGGGACGGGGACGGGGGGACAGGGACAAGTGCGGCAACGCCACCGCGGCCCACCGGGGCTCGGCGGCCCCGCCACCGCCCCCAAGGGCACCGCCGACGCCGCGTCCCGCCGCCCGGCCGCGCGTCGTCATCCCGGTGCGGCATCACTCAGGCATCGCCATCCCTCGCGCTGCTGAGGCCTCGGCGGGAGCAGCACCGGGAGCAGCTGCCGCCGCGTTTCCCGACGACCGGGACGGTGCCGGTGCCATGAAGGAGGACCGCCAGCATTCCGTCGACCTGGGTGAGGCACCGGGGCCATCCTGGCACCGCTCCTCGCACTGCCGGTCGTGGCCTGGCCGCGAGCGAGACCGGCATTCACCGGGCTGATACCGGGAGCAAGAGGTCCCGGGGTGGCTCTAGGGTCACCACGGGACCACACCGGCCGCCTGTACCCATCACCACGGGCAGCCAACCCTGGCCTGTTGTGACCGATGTCATCTCTGGTGGCATGTCCGTTGGCATGGCCAGTGGCATCACCGGCTGTCCCTCCTCTTGTCTCTGTGACAGGTTACGCCATCACCAAACCCGACATCCTGGCCGAGGTGGAGCGAGGGGACGAGGGGGTGGCGGCGGCAGCGGGGCGTTACGGGGGGCACCAGAGCCCCCGGCCACACGCGGCACCCGCCGGCCCCTCCCAGGGTGAGCGCGACACGGGGACGGGCGGGATCGTGGCCGGGTGGCACCAGGAGCGGGAGTCGGGCACCGGCCCGCATCCCGCCCGGCCGCGCGCTTGGTCCCGCGGGATTCCCGGTGAGGCGGCCGCTCCCCAACGCGCTCCTGTCTCCGCAGGGGACTGGCGGGGGAAGGAGGTGAAGAGCGAGGACGGGGTGTCCCCGCCGCCCCGCTCGCCCCCGTCCCGCCACGCCGGCCCCGCCGACTTCCTCGTCCCGCTGCGGGAACGGGGCTGCAGCTACTGCGGCGTCCTCGAGCCGGAGCCGAACCCCGGTGCCGGTAACGGGGGGTTCATCGCCGCACCCCCCGCCTTCGAGAGCCGGCGCTGCCGGCCCGGGGAGCCGCCGCTGGATTGTGCCGAGTGCGGCCGAGGCGTCGGGCAGAAGCCGGACCTGGTGCGGCACCGGCTGGGGCGCGGCACGGAGCTCGGCTACGCCTGCGGCCGCTGCGGGAGAGGCCTCGCCGAGCCGGGGGGGCTGGGGGTCACGGGCAGCCCGCACCGCCCGGGGCCCTGCACCGGCCGCTCCCCGGGCACGGCGGAGGGAGCGACGGCTGCGCCGCGGAAGGAGCGGAAGGAGCTGTCGCTGACCGAGAAGGTGCGCGTGCTGGAGATGCTGGAGGGCCCCAAGGTGTCGCAGAGCGAGCTGGCCAAGCGCTTCGGGGTGTCGCAGCCCCAGATCTGCCGCATCATCAAGAACAAGGAGCGCATCCTGAGCGAGTGGCACCGCAACGGCGACCCCGAGCGCAAGCGCAAGCGGGAGGGGAAGGACGCGGCGCTGGAGGCCGCGCTGCTGCGCTGGGTGGAGGGTGCCCACGCTGCCGACCTGCCCGTGGGCCGCCCGCTGCTGCAGCTCAGGGCCAGGCACCCGGCCCGGCCCGATCCCGAGCCCACCGGCGGCTGGCTGGCTCGCCTGGGAGCTCGCCACGGCCTCGCCGGCAAGAAGCCGCCGGCGGAGAAAGGGGACGCGGAGCAGCCCACGGCGGAGCACTGGGCCGGCACGGTGCTGCCCGGGCTCCTCCGCAGCTACGCGCCCGCCGAGATCTTCGCCTGCGGGGAGACCGCGGTGCCGCTCCCGGCCGGCGCCCTCGGCAAGGGCGAGAGCCCCGGCGAGCGGCTGACGCTGCTGCTCTGCGCCAACGCCAGCGGCTCGGAGAAGATGCCGCTGCGGGCCGTGGGGGACAGCCCCCGGCCGCGCTGCCTGCGGGGCGTCAACCTGGAGCAGATGCCGTGGAGCTACCGCGCCGGCAGCCCGGCCGGCCTGACCGCCGCGCTCTTCGCCGAGTGGCTGCGGGACTTCAACGAGGGCATGCGGCGGCGGGGCAAGAGCGTCCTCCTCCTCCTGGCCAAGCACGAGGCGCACCCCTACCTCCAGCTGTCCAACGTCAGGATGGTCTTCGTCCCTGCGGCCACCGCCCTGGCCCAGCCCCTGGACCGCGGCGTCGCCGGCGACCTCAGGGGTCACTACGGGCGGCGGCTGCTGCGGTGGCTGCCGGCGGAGCGCGGCGCGGGGCGGCCCAGCCTGCTGGACGTGCTGCACATGCTGGCGCAAGCCTGGGGCGACGTTCCCCCGGGGCTCATCGCCGGCTGCTTCCGCGCCGCCGGCTTCACGCCCGATGCCGGCGCCGAGGCCGTGTCCCTCAGCTCGGCCCCCGGCCCGCTCGGCCCGGAGCGGCCGGAGCGCGACGGGGACCCGGCGGAGGCGGACGGGGACGAGGGCGTGACGGAGGGGGAGGACGCGGGCGAGCAGGCGGCCGTGCCGCCCTGCCCCTCGGAACGGGAGGTCTGGAAGAGCCTGGCCACGCTGCGGAGGTACCTGGAGTGCCAGGCCACCTCGCCAGATCTCTTCCAGGCCTTCTACGAGCTGGAGGACGCGGTGCACATGGTGTCAGCCGGCGCAGGGCGAGCCTTCCTCGGGGACACCCCTGCCCAGCAGTGACAGCCACACGTGTCCAGACCCGCTGGTGCCCACGGGAGGGGCCGGAGCTCCTTGGGGCTGTCACTAGCCCGGCCTGGCCGCTGTTCCCTGCACTTGTGCCGTGGGGTTTGCAGTGGCAGTGCTGGGGACACAAAGCTGCTGCCAGAACCTTCTCCCAGGGAGCGGCTGCTGCAGCCAGCAGGAAACAACGTGGTGCTGCTGCCAGCGGGGATTTGCCCCGAGTGGGGTCGTTGTGGCTGCCATGGGGGGATGTGGGTGGTGCTGGGGTGTCCCCGTGCTGGGGACAGCAGCTCCATCCCACGGGGGAATCGGGTGCCTCCGGCTGCTGTCACCACGTGGTGCCTGGAGGATTGTTACAGGCATTAAAAAGTTGGAATTCAGCAAAGCGAAGCGCGGGTGGTTTTATTCTGCTGTCACATCTGCTGGGAGTGGGGCAGAGCTCCCCGGGGCTCCCCAGAGCCCAAAACCCCAAACGCCCCTTTCCCTCCTGGGGACATGGTGGCCTCCACAGCCACCCTGAGCTGTGCCATCTCCACCCAGCTACCAGGGCCATGGCAGCACCTGCGGGCAGTGAGGACCTGGCTGATCACCCTGTCCTGGCTGTGCCAGCCTTAGTGGCACCCACGGGCACCCTGGGGTCCCTGCACTGCGCACCCTGTCCCCCACAGCAGGGTCCCTGAGGCAGGACGGGGTATGGGGATGACTCTGCTTGTTTGCAGAGGGTCAGGGGCAGCTGGAGGCCACCAGGCAGGGACAGAGGTGTCCCCACAGGCCCAGGGGGTACACCCAGGGATGGAGGCCACAGGGGGATCCCCACACGGATACAGAGTCGCAGGTGGGCATGAAGCACCGAGGGGAAGGGGTGCAGCAGGCGGGACCCCCACAGGGATACACGACCACGGCTGGGAATGGGGGGGACACAGGGGGTTCCCCATGGGGACACCCCATCATGGGGGTACATGGGGTGCTCGGGGTGGGACCCGCGTAGGATGCACCTACCCGGGGGTGCAGGGATGGGGGGCATGGCGGGATCCCCACAGGGACACAGCCCCACAGGTACCCACGGCACCCTCGGGAGGGGGGTACAGGGATGTATCACCCCGGGGGACCCCCACGGCATACATCCACGGTGGGTACCCGCGGTCCCCGCGGGTGGACTGCAGGGATGTCTCCTTCCTCAGGGATGTCCCGGTGTGCTGTCCCTCCCGGTGTGCTGTCCTGGTGTGCTGTCCTTCCCGGTGTGCAATCCCCTCCCGGTGTGCTGCCCCTCCCGCTGTGCTGTCCGGTCCCGGTGGGATGTCCCCTCCCGGGGCTGTCCTTCCGGCAGGGCCGTCCGGTCCCGGTATGCTGTCCGGTTGTGGTGTCCCTCCCGGGGCCGTCCCCTCCCGCTGTGCTGTCCCTCCCGGTGTGCTATCCGGTCCCGGTGTGCTATCCGGTCCCGGTGGGATATCCCGGTGTGCTGTCCCCTACCTCCCGCTCCGCTCTCCCCTCCCGGTGCTGTCCCCCTGCCGGTGCTGTCCCCTCCCGGTGTGCTGTCCCCTCCCGGTGTGCTGTCCCCTCCCGGTGCTCTCCCCTCCCTCCCGCTCCGCTCTCCCTTCCCGGTGCTTTCCCCTCCCGCTCCGCTCTCCCCTCCCGGTGCTGTCCCCCTCCCGGTGCTGTCCCCTCCCGGTGTGCTGTCCCCTCCCGGTGCTGTCCCCTCCCGGTGCGCTGTCCCCTCCCGGTGTGCTGTCCCCTCCCGGTGCTGTCCCCTCCCGGTGTGCTGTCCCCGGGGGGCCCCGGGGATGGGGAGGGGGCTCGGGGCATGGCAGGGCCCTCGGCGGCACCGCGGGGCTGCTGCGGTGCTCCCGGGGTTTGCCGGGGGTCGAGGGCGCGATGGGAGGATGGGGTGGGCACGGTGGTCTTTGCTGTGGTTCCGTGGTCCTCGTGGGAGCTTGAGGTGTGCACACCCGGGCCAGGTGTGCGCCGTGGCCAAGGGCTTCTTCGTGGCCTTGGGGCACTTGCTGCGGCCAGGGGTTTTGAGGTGGTCCCAAGTTCCTCACGAGGAGTTCGGGGTGTTCACCGTGGCCACGGTGTTTACCATGGCCGAGGTCTTTGCCGTGGCCCCAGGGTGGTCACTGGGAGCTCCAGGTGTACACCAGCACCGTGGTCTTTGCTGTGTCCACAAGATCCTGTCTGGGAGCTAGGGGTGTTCATCATAGTCAAGGTCTTTTCTGTGGCGCCAAGCTCCTCGCTGGGCTCTTCAGGTGTTCATCATGGCCAAGGTCTTCACCATGGCCTTGCAACACTTGCCATGGCCTTGTCGTTGTCCTGGTGCCAGGGTTGTCCTGGAGCTTGAGCTGCTCACCGTGGCCAAGGCCTTCCGCGATGCCTCTGCCATGGCCTTGGGCTCTCACTGTGCCCGTGGGTTTCACCATGACTCCAAGGTCCTCAGCAGGAGCTTGAGGTGCTCACTGGGCTCTTGATGCTCCCACCATGGCCAAGAGCCTCGCCAAGGCCCGCTTCTCGGCCGAGGTCTTCACCATGGCCTTGAGGTGCTCACTGTGGCCGAGGCCCCTGGACCTGTCCTTCAGGTCTTGGTCGGTGCTGTGGCCCCGAGGCCCTGGCCGGGATCCTGAAGTGCTCACCATGCCCAAGACTTTCCCCGTCACGGCCGGCATTGCCGTGGCCTTGAGGTGTCCCCATCGCCCTCAGCCTGGCCCTGAGGTGCTCTGAGGCAGCCCCGTGGTCCCACGTGCCCGAGGCGCTCACCGCAGCCCCTCGCCGTGGTGCTGACGCGCAGCACGGCCACGTCCCCGTCCGTGGCACCTGCCCGGGGGCTCCCGGGTGCCTCTGGCTGGAGAGAGCCGGGGGGCCCTCGCCGTCCCCCCGCGCTGCCACCAGCCACCGCTGCCCTTTCCTTTTCTCCCCTCCCAGGTGCCCTCGAGCCGGGCGAGGCGATGCGGTGCGCCCGTGCCGCGTGCTGTGCCGAAGCGGCTCTTTAGATCCTCCCCGGCCCAAGCCTCCCCTGCCATGGATGCCTCCGGGGCTCTTGCTTCGGCTCCCTCCTCCGCGGCTCCCTCGGGCTCCCGCAGCCCCATGTTCCCCCCAGGAGCTGACAGAGAGGAGTGGGGACCGAGGTTCAATTGTGCCCCTTCCACCTCTGCCGCAGCCTCGCAGGCGATGCCAGCGTCTGGCCGGAAGAGGAAGGCCAACTTCTCCAATGACGAGACCGAGACGCTGGTCTGGAATGTGGTCCGGCATTTCAGCGCCCTGTACGGGTCCGAGGCCCTGCGGGCTCACCCCGTGCGGCGGAAGCAGCTCTGGACCCAAATCCAAAGCCGCGTCAACTTCCTGGGCTACACCGAGCGCTCCATCGACGACCTCAAGCACAAGTGGCGCGACCTGCGGCTGGACGTCAAGAAGAAAATCACCTCCAAGAAGCACCTGCCCATGAACCGCGCCGGGGGGCCGCTCCACAAGCCGCGCCTCACGCCCCTGGAGAAGATGGTGGCTTCCACCTTCCTGCAGGCCAGCCACGACTCGGAGCCAGAGATCATCCTGGACCCGGGTGAGCGGTGGCGGTTCTGCGGGCAGAGGGTGGCTGGAGCGCTGGCTGCGCTCCCTGAGCGATGTCCGGCCACGCCGGCGTTCTCAGCTGGCTGTTGTGCCTTGTGGAAAGAGACTCCGGGGTTTGTTGAGTCACGGTTCTGTTGTGCCCAAGTGCCAGCCACCGGGGTGGAGAACTGTGTGTGCTGGGATTAGAAATCCTCCATGGAAATAACCTGGGATCAGCGAGTCGTAGAAATCCCAGGGTGGTTTGTGTAGGAAGGGACCTTAAAGCTCATCCTCTTCCACCCTGTGCTATGGGCAAGGACACCTTCCACTATCCCAGGCTGCTCCAAGCCCCATCCAGCCTGGCACTGGACACTTGCAGAGATCCAGGGGCAGCCACAGCTTCTCTGGGAAAACTGTGCCAGGTCAACAGGATTGGTAGGAACACCTCAAGCTTTGCAGGAGTGGGTCTTTTTTGTTCTTCTTTCTTCTTTAATTTGATGCTTTCAGTGGCCCCTCTGGTTTCACTGGGGGTGTCATAGGCTCCATCCATGTGGCCCAGACTTGGCTGTCATGTGCCAAGCTCAGGGCTTTAGGCTGAAGGAAGAAATCCTGTGTAATGGCATGAAGTTGTGCCAGGGGAGGGTCAGGCTGGAGATCAGGGAAAGGTTCTTCCCACAGAGGGTGCAGGGCAGTGCCCAGGCTCCCCAGGGAATGGTCACAGCTCCAACCCTGCCAGAGCTCCAGGAGCATTTGGACAGCGCTCTCAGGCATGCACAGGGTGGCATTTTGGGGTGTCTGTGCAGGGCCAGGAGCTGGATCAGTGATCCCTGCGGGTTCCTCCCAGCTCAGGTTATTCCCCAACCCCATGATTCTCTGGCACTAGGGGCTGTCAGCCCCCTGGGGGCTCCGGATGGTGCTGGGGAGGGCGAGGCTGAGTGATGGCGCGGGATGGCCTTGAGGGAGCATCTGTACCTGGGGGCCACCGTGTCCCCACCGGCTGAGGCCGCATCCTCTGTGTCCCGCAGATCTGTTCTTCCCCGGCGCGTCCAAGCAGCCCTTCATGCACCTGCAGCCCGGCGTGAGCCACCCCAGCATCTACATCGACACCAACGGGCAGCCCTCGGCCCTGCCCGACGTGGAGGGCTCGGCCGTGCCGCGCCTGCCGGGACAGAGCCCCGACCCCGCCGGCGGCTGCGAGTACCGAGGAGAGGGGCAGGGCGGCTCCGGTACGGCGGGAGCCAGCACGGGCTGGGGGCGCTGGGAGCACGGCGGGGTGGAGATGGGCTGGGAAGTGTAGGGTCTGGGGGGACACTGGCTGGGAGCAGGGTCTGCATGGAGATCTGCTGGGTCTGAATGGAGATCCACTGGGAGTGGGGTTTGGATGGAGATCCGCTGGGTCAGGATGGAGATCTGCTGGGAAGGGTGAGATCTGGATGGAAATCCTCTGGCAGTGGGGTTCTGGATGGAGATCTGCTGCTGGGAGTGGACTCAGGATGGAGATCCACTGGGTCAGGATGGAGATCCGCTGGGTCAGGATGGAGATCCTCTGGGTCAGGATGGAGATCCGCTGGGATCCACGTGTTGGGGAGCCTGGGGCCAGGGCAGTGCTGTGGCTCACCGGAGGTTTCTCTTCTCTCCCAGCCGAGTCGGGACCGGAGCTGCGCACTCCAGACGCGTCGGCCATCTCCCCGTCCCTGCGAAACGAGTCCCTGGTCTCCTACGCCTCCATGTCCGAGGAGGAGGAACGGGAAGGCCGGGAGGTGGAGAGGGGCCACGGTGGCGCCGCGGGGATGCAGCCGGGGCCCGAAGCCCCCATGTCAGCGGAGGAGGACATGAAACTGTCCCGCCAGGCCATGCTGATCCGCCGGTGCAGCTCCCAGGGCTCCGTCACTTCCCTGCCCGAGGACTCCCTCAACCCCGCGGACGCTCACTCGGACTGGGGGCACGAGGGCGTGTCCGACCTGCCCGCCCTGGGCCGCGGGCTCGACTCGGCGCATCCCGAGGAGCAGGCGGGCGGCCCGGGCCCGGAGATGGGCGCCTTGCCCAGGGTACTGATGGGGCCCACCTGGGAGAAGGCTCCGGCGGAGGAGGAGCCCCCGGCCCGCTCCCCGCTGCACGGCGCCCTGACCGAGGAGTCGCTGCCCTCCTCCGCCTCCCCTCCCGGAGACGCCCCGGCCGCCGCCGGCCCCGGCCGCGGGCTGGGCTGCTCCCGCCTGCGCGAGGACCGCCGCGAGAGCTGGAGGACTAGCATCCATCACCTGCTCGACCTGGAGGAGCAGTGGGACCAGCTGTACCACCAGGAGCTGGCCATGTGGCAGGAGGAACGGGCCACCCAGCGCGAGGAGCGGGCGCGCGACCGGGAGCTGCAGTTCCGCCTGCTCGGCGTCCTCACGGACATCCGCGACGAGCTGCGCTACCTGCGCCAGGAGCGCGCCGGCGCCCGCCAGAGCCCGGCCCCGCCGCCCCCCGAGCCCCGCCGCGACCCCAGCCCGCTCCTCGAGCAGCCCAAAGCCGAGCCCGGCTTCCCCGAGCCGCCGGCCGGGAGCGCCGGCTGGGCAGACACCGCCGTGCCCAGCCGCAGCCCCTTCGGTAACCGCGGCCGGGGCCGGCGCCGCGGGCGGCCGCGCGGCTCCGCTTCCCGACACAGACGCCTCTTCCTCACCAACAGCTAGGGACGGGCGGGAGCCGCTCCGCCACGGACACGGAGTGCCCGCGGCCGCCCCGGCGGGACGGCGTGCGGTGACGCGGGCGGCACCCGGATGGATCCCCGCGGGAAGGGACAGAGGACGCGGGCGGGCGGCGCTGCCGCTGCGGGCTCGGAGCGCTCCGGGCGGGTCCCCGCGGGTCTGAGGCACGGGAGCGCCCCGAGGTGACGCCGCCGTGCCCGCGGGGGACACGAGTGACAGCTCGGCCCGAGGGCGCTAGTCCAGTAGGATTTACTACCTGTCGGGGGGTGGGAGTTAGAAACACTTAGTCGCTGACGTGCGAACATTTTATGCAAATCATTTAATGACCTAATTTGCATATAACCATAAAACTTCTGTTAAAAAAAAAAAAAACGCCTCCAAAAAAACCCAGAAATGATGGTTTTGTGTGTGATCTCTGTGTGGGGGCGGGAGCTGGGCCAGGGGGGTCGTTTGTCCCATGGCTCTGCAGCCCTGGATGGGGACAAGGTCGTGGGACAAACGAGCTTCACCTCATTCCTTTGGGGCAGCCCAGCACTGTGGGATCAGGGCTGGGGAACGGGAGCTCTGCAGACCTGGAGAGCAGTGAGGGCATGCACATCGTGGGGGGAACGTGGAGGGTCCCCTGCCCAGGAGTGGTTGGGGTCCCTGGGCAGTGTGCAGTGTCCCCAGACAGTGTGCAGTGTCCCCAGAGGGCTCAGAGGTCCCCAGGACTGTGCAGGGCCCAGGCAGCCTGGCAGGTTCCAGGAATGTGCAGTGTCCTGAGAGTGTCCAAGGTTCCCAGCAGTGTCCAGTGTCCCCAGGGAGTGTGGAGGGTCCCTGGCATCACACAAGGCCCCTTGGGCAGCGTGCAGGGTCCCCAGGGAGTGTCCAAGTTCCCCAGCACTGTCCCCAGGGTCCTCAAGCATTGTGCAGTGTTCCCCGAGTGTGTGCAGGATTCCCAGAAAGTGTCCAAGGTCCCCAGCAGCATTCGGGGTCTTCAGGCAAGGCTTGGGGTCCCCAGCAGTGTGCAGGGTCCCCAGGGAATGTCTGAGGTCCCCATGACAAGTGTAGTGTCCCCACAGCAGGTGCAGGGTCCCCAGGGCACCCCAGCACTGTCTCCCCCCTCCATCTCCAGCCCACATCAGGGTGACAGCACTGCTGAGCCCTCTGTGCTGTGTCCCCTCTGCTGTCCCCTCTTCCAGCCCCCCAGCATCCAGGGCCCCTTGACTGCCACGTCCTGGTGGGCTGGGACAGGAGGGTGCAGCCCCCAGGGAAGGGACAGTGGGGCAGCAGGAGCTGTGGCAGTTGTGGGTCACCCAGCTCTGGTTGTGGCCTCCCAGGAGGATGGTGACACTCAGCTTGGGGACCCTGGTGTGCCTGAGGAAGGGCCCTGGATTCTGTGGGGAAAGAATTGAGTGAAATAACTCCTATCCCCAAATCAGGGGTAGGAGGGACCTGGGGATGGGGCAAGCACAGGGGACAGGAAGGACCCAGGGGTGGGTCGGTGACAGGAGTGGGGGTCTCCACACAGCCCCACCAGCATGAGGCCACCGCAGCCGGTGACACAGGGACCTCCTGAGCCGCCGCACCCCCGGACCCACAACCCATTCCCACCACTCTGCGTCCCACCACGCCATTCCCACCTTCCCACCCTGCTGCCGCTGCCTTCCCAGGGCGCGGGACCCCGGGGACGGGGCGGGAGCGCGGCCACAGAGCACGGGGGACCCTCGGCGGGGGTGCTGAAGGCTCTGCAGCCCAGCACGACTTTATTCCGTATCGCTTCGTCCATACAAAACTACACCCCAAGCACTGTACAGCGGGACGGCGCGGGGAGGGGGGGGCAGTAAAAATAAGCAGCGGGGGCGAGGGGACAGAGCGGCAGGCGGGGGTGGCGCGGGGGGACACGGAGGGGGGCTGGCTGCCCCCCACCCCGTGCGGCGACATCGTCCGTGGGGGGGAGCGCTGGGGGTGAAGCGTCCGTCCGTGGCGGGGGACCCGGGGGCTCGTCCCCCCACCTCGGGGCTCCCCGCCCGCCCCCCGCCCCGGCCGGGCACCTCGGTTCGGTGGGAAGCCGCGTGGCCGGGGGCTGTCCCCGTGCCGGGGGGGTGGCAGTCCGCGGCGGGGTGGCCCCTAGTCCCCGGGGGGCAGGATCCCGGGCGGCGGCAGCGGCGGCGGCCCCGCCTCGGCTCCGTGGACCCGCTGGTGATCCTTGAGCGACTCCTTGTAGCGGAAGCTGCGGCCGCAGGCGGGGCACTGGTACGGGCGCTCCCCGGTGTGGATGCGCTGGTGCTTGAGCAGGTTCTGCTTGCGGATGAAGCTCTTGCCGCACTGGGCGCAGGCGAAGGGGCGCTCCCCGGTGTGCAGCCGCTGGTGGTTCTGCAGGTGTTCCTTGCGGCTGTAGCACTTGCCGCACTCGGAGCACTTGTAGGGCCGCTCGCCGCGGTGGATCATCTGGTGCCGCACCAGCCCCGAGTGGCAATTGAAGCTCTTGCCGCACTCGGCGCACGGGTAGGGCCGCTCGGCCGCGTGGCTGCGCTGGTGGATCCGCAGGCTCTTCTTGCCGCTGAAGCTCTTCCCGCACTCGGCGCAGCCGTGCGGCCGCTCCTCGGCGGGGCCCGGCGGCGCCGCGGGGACGCCCCCGGAATCGGCCCCCGGGCCCGGCTCGGGGCCCGGAGCTTTGCCCAGTCTGTGCTGCGCCGGCAGAGCCACCGCCGCCGGCACCGCCGCCTGTCCCTCGGGGGTCCCGAAGCCCGTGCCGGGGAAGAGCAGCTCCCCGGAGCTGCCCGGCAAACCCACCTCCTCGGGGGGCTCGGCGTGGGGGCACCGCTCCTCCGTCTTCACCAGCAGCCCCTCGCTGGCTGCAGGGGACAGAGAGACCGGTCAGTCCTACCGGGGACACCGGGGATGTCCCCAGGTCACAGCTCGTCCCGCGGGGGTGCTCCCCTCACCCCCAGCCCCATGGTGGGGATCGCTCACCAGGACCAGGGCCCGGGGGCAGCATCTCCCTCTCGGGCAGCTCCCAGGGCTCCCGGACACAGGGCTCTTCCTCCTGCTTGATCCACGACAAGAAGTCGTGCGCGGTGATCAGGGCGTCCGCGCCTGCAGGGAGGGACAGGGGGGACGGGGACTCAGCCACGGGGGCCACAGCCTGCTCCGGGGGCACGGGAGGGAACGGCGCCGGTGGGGGCAGGCTCAGCGCCAGACTCACCCGCACAGGGGTCCGGCGGCATGCCCCGCTCCTCCGGGAACTGCTGCTCCCCCACGAAGGCCACCTCCTGCTTGATCCGGGACAGGATGTCGGAGGTGGAGATCAGCGACTCTGTTCACGAGGAGAGACTTGGCCGGGGCCGGGATGGAGCCACGCGTGCGACCCACGGCCACCACACCCGGGGTGTGTGACCCCTGGACTCCGGCCTCAGGGGACACCCCCATCCCACAGCAGTTATGGACACCCAACACCCCCAGGGAGCTGTGGGGACAGGTGGCTGTGGGACAGCCCTTGGTGATGGGTGACCCTGAGATGGCCCATGGGGACAGGCAACCCTGAGACAGCCTTTGGGGACAGGCACAACCCCTGGGAACAGATGACTGTGGCACTGGGGACAGGTGACAATGGCACAACTGATGGGGCTGGGTGATGGTGACACAGCCCATGGGCCCTGACACAAAGGGGGTGGCAGCACAGATCTCCCAGTGATGGATATCCAAGATCTCCAGCACAACAGTCACGGATTTTCTGGGGTCCCTCACTCACAGCTGGAGAACTGGGCCCAGTGGGTATGGGAATATTTGGGAGGGAGGAGGGGCATCCCTGGGGGGAGGAGGGTGGGGGAACGTGGTGTGGGGACAGTGGGGACAATGGGGACAGTGGGGACAGGTCTTCCCACGGTGTCTCACCCGCGCAGGCGTCCGGCGGCAGCTCCCTCTGCTCCAGCTCGCGCTGCTCAGGGACGCAGGGCCCGTCCCCGCGCTCGCTGCGCGGCTGCGCCTCGCTTCTGGAGAGGGCCCCATCTGCCAGGGACACAGAGCGATGTCACCCCCTCCCTGTCACCCCCTCCCTGTCAGCCAGGCCTCGGGGGACGCTCTGGGGACACACCAGGCTGCCAGGACCTGGTGTCCCTCCCGGCAGAGGAGGTGCCTAAATCCCACAGCACCTCCATGCTGGAGGCAGCTTGGACACTCAGGTGCTGGGTTCTGGGGGACAAGGACCCTCTCCAGCCCCCCGGGCAGCACTGGCATGGCATGGTGTGTCACCCTGTCCCCACACACAGCACGAGCCATGTAGTGCTCCCTCTGGAATGGTCCCAGGACACAGCGAGTGCCACCACTGACCACCAGCAGGGGACCAGGCCACCCACGTTGGGGACCCACTGAGGAGACACAGCCATCGCTCCGTCCTGCCAGGAGCTGGGGAAAAGGGACATTTACCCAGGGACAGCAAAGCCTCATAGTTCTCCTTCACCAGGTTGTTGTACAGCTCCTTCTGCCACTCCTCCAGGTTCTTCCACTCCTCCGCTGAGAAGTAGACGGCGATGTCAACAAATGTCACCGGCACCTGTGGGGACAAGACCCCCTGGCTCAGCGGTGCCCGCTCCCCAGGGGAACCGAGGGTCCCCCCACTGTCCTGCAGCCCCCAGGGACACTCTACCTTGGGGACCTCTCCCCGGGGGCCGGGGGGCAGCCGCAGCACCCAGAAGTTCCTGTTCTTCAGGAGGTTCTCCACGTTCTCCAGGCGCCGCTGGAGCAGCCCGTACTCCTGGATGAGGGTGCCCAGCACGGCCCACTTGCTCTCCAGCTGGTTCCCAAATTCCATGGCCGTCTTCTCGCAGTCCAGCAGCTTCTTCTCGGCCGTGCCGGAGCGGCCCTCCAGGCTGAGCAGGCGGGTGGCCAGGAGGTCGATCTTCCTCTCCATGGCCTGCACCGTGGCCACCACGGTCCAGAGCGAGGCCTCCGCGGAGTGGAGCTGCGCCTCCCGCACGTGCGCCCGCTCCGGCAGCAGCGGCGGCTGCAGCGGCATCAGGTGAGGGGCCTCCATGTTCCACTCCTGCACCTGGGCCACGGGGAGGGCACGAGTGGGAGGAGACCCACGGTCACCCCCTGGAGCCTCTGCTCCCCGTTTCCAGGGCTTTTGGCCACCAGTAGCCCCAGAACTGCCAGGGACCCCTGTGTGCAGTGCCCACCGGCCTGAGGGGGCAGTGAGTGGCAGTCCAGGGTGGCCGTGGGGTCAGTGCCCATCCCTGTCCCCATGGAACACCTGCCAGAACTAGGCAGGCCACCGTGGTGACCCCTCCCAACTTGTCACCCCAGTCCCCAATCCCTTGGGAGTCATTCCTGGGTCTGCCAGGGCTGGAACCCACTCGGGAGGAGGATGGGGCTGGGTGGGCAGGGAGCAAGCAGGGCAAGTGTGGACCAGGGGTGTCCAGGGACACCTTGGGGACATAAAGGGACACGCCAGGACAGAGGTGCCTGGGGCATCCCTGGGCTGAAGCCTGCTCAGAGCATTCCGGGGCACCCTGGGGCATCCCAGAGCATCCCGGGGGCACGGGGATATCCCGGGGCAGAGGTGTCTGGGGACACGCTGGGAACACACGGGCATCCCGGGTCAGCGGGGCATCCCGGGAGCACCGGGGCCACGGCGGGTGGCGTCCCTGGGGACATCCCGGGGCACCCCGGGGCATCCCGAGGGCACGTGGACATGCCGGGTCGGCGGCGCCCGGCGCATCCCGGGCACGCACGGACATCCCGGGGCAGGGGTGCTCAGCCCCGTCCCGGGGCACCGAGGCCACCGCGGCTCCGGTCCCCGGCGGTGGCGGCGGCCCCGCGGGCCGGGGG